TGAGAACTAATTATTTCAAATTTGTTTATGTGTCATCATTAGAATTATTCTCATCAATTTTATTATGACATGACAAAATATGATATAGAAAATTTTATCAAATATTTGTCTCATATTTTTTTAAAGAATAATCATCCTACTAATCACAGTCATGACTTGGACGAGGCCAGTATATATTACATGCCACCAAAAGGGGGTCAAATGTCGATTTCTGGACAAATGTATGTGGACATTCTTCTTTTCGCAGAAGCATTGTATCCTAAAAGAACAGCTTTTGTGTTACTCGCGAAACGAATCCCAGAAATTGAGGAGATGAAGAGGGTTCTTATGTGTTTGCAATCGAGATATCAACACCATGTTCTTATTGTAGACCCGACACGACAAGTTGGTGGTCTTTTCCCCTTACAGTCTGCAGACTCAGTATTTGATCGTACACAATTTGTAGATGGAGGAAAGACTAGGCCACGAATTGCTTCTTCTAAGCGTATCAAACCCGTCCGAGAGATTGGGACAGGCGTCTGTTGGTTGGAGTGTTGATACGATCTTCACGAAAAGAAACATGTCAATCTCGGCTTATGTTGATGAGAAGAAGAAAGAGTCTTGGGGTGAGTTTCTGAGGAACAAGACGCTAGAATCCAGAATTGACCTCTTTCCCGGAGGGGATAAACCCGCGAGAGTTGAGAGAATGTTACATGACATTCTTTTATGGTTAATCCACAATCCGCATTGAGCAGATTTAATCGTAGTCGCTGATAACGTTAAACATGAGCTCTTCAATATGCTTGGAAGTTTCGTGAAGAGAGGTTACAATGTTTTCCTAGTAACTCCGACTAAAGACACCGGACCAGAAAGCCATGAATGGCCATAATTGCTGTTAGATCAAGTATACGCTTTTGGTTTTGAAAGTGAAAGCGAGAGCGAAAGCGAAAGCCCATAAGATAAAAAAAGCGTTAAGCCGGAGATGATGTGTAAATATTGCAGCGAAAAAAGTTTTGTTTTATTTTAAGTTCTACTGGCTTATTTGAATGCTCAAGATCTCGCTAACTTGCTTATTTTAAACCGAACATTTTAGAAAAAATTTAAGAACCGAACATTACTTGTCCTTAACTATTCAATTTCCCTAATCTTATGTGTTTAGTTTTTAAAAAGAAAGTAATAGATTTCTCTTGATGAAAGTTCTCAACGAAACATTTCGATTTAGTTCACTCTTTTTGCCTCCTCTGTTCTTGTCTCTTTATTCATATTTTGGGGAGCTATGCAAATTGTTTAATCCCGTCGATTGAGTCTTCTATTTCCAAAATCATCTATTAGTGCGTCCCATGCTTGGTTCTCACTTATCAAATAGTAAAAGTTTTGAGCACGTTTTATCAAAGGGGTCATGAGATTGAACTCTGACCACGTTTTAAAGCAATTTTATTTTTTTAGAAAACTATCAAGGAACATTTTATTTTTAAAAACCCATATATATATTTGTGGTGATTGCCAAAAATAGAAAATAAAGAGGATAATTAAGGTTTCACTGAGATTTGAACTCGAGTTATGGAATTCAGAGTTCAATCTCATGACCCCTAAAACAAAACAAAAATTTGCTTTAAAAAAAAAGGTGATAAAACGTAAAAGTTTTGAGTACGTTTTATAACATTTTTTTAAAAGCAATTTTTATTTTTTTTTAGAAAACTATCAAAGAACAGCTTATTTTTGAAAACTCAATATATATATATTTGTGGTGATTGCAAAAAATAAAAAATAAACAGGATAGTTAAGGTTCCGCCGAGATTTGAACTCGAGTTACGGAATTCAGAGTTCAATCTCATGACCCCTAAATAGATAATGGAGTTTAACTCAAAATCAAAAAGTTAATAGACTTCGTCTCTAAGAAATGTGGAATATAGTTTATAATTTCGTTATGATGATTGTACTCGTAATTGGAAAAGAAAAAGAAAGTCCGTACACTAAGAAAGTAAAGCTAACACCTTTAAGATACAAATTTAAGTAAAGTTAATATGCTTTGGGGTGGAAAGACTACACTCAATATATAGATCCCTTGTGATAATAGTGTAAATTCAAATGCACCCAATAAAGAAAATAGCAATGCAAATCAAG